GATGGTTCAATTCACTTTGCATGAATTTTTTACATTAAATAATTTGTTTGCTTTTTTTTTTGAGTTTCAATAATTACACAATTTTTACTTACATGCAAAAAAATTATTTTTTTGTTATTCAATATTAAAAAAAAAATATTATAATTATATATTTAGTATTATTAATATTTTACATCAATTTGTTATTAATTTTTTTGTTAATTAAATATTTTTTTTTTTACGCACAAATAGCACTTAACAGTTAATTACAACGTACATATGTATATGATTTCACATTTATTCTTACTTTTCTTTTTAATAATAATAATTACTAATTTAAATTTTTTCTTCTTACATATATAAATTACACATACATACGAAACGTATGAATATTACATACATATGCACTTACATACTTATTTGCTTTTGTTTCGCTTTGTTGTTGCTGATTTTTGTAATTAATTTTAAATTTAAATTATATGTATATTTGTAAAAGAAAAGTAATTTACATTTATCTTCTAATTTAAAGAGTACACTTTTTAAACTTAATAATATTGCATAAGAAAATATTTAATATATTATTAACTAAAAAAAAATTTGTATAATTAATTACAAAAAAAAAAAACGAAAACAAAAACAAAAACAGAAAAATTAAATATAATTATTGCAAAAAAATATTGCATATAATATTGTTAAAAAAAAAAAACTATAAATATGTATGCATGTATGTGTATACTACTATAATGCAATCAAAAAAAATATTTACTTTTATTTTTTGTTTGTAAAAAAATGTGTAAGTCATTATGTAAAACATATTTATTTGTTTGTTAGATCAATTAACATAACATTATGCGCTTATAATGTAGAAATAAAAAAAAAATAGCGTAATAAAATTACTTTTTTTAATTTTTTAAATATTATATGTATGTATGCATCTGTCTGTAGTAGCAGCGGCGCTTGATTTACAGTTTTTTCTATTATTAAATATATGTATGCACATAGTCAAATACTAAAATTTGAAACAATTTTTTTTTGTGAATAATTTTCAAATTATTTTGTTATTTTTGTTTAAATTATTAAACTAAAATATTTAAATTACACACATATATTTTTCAATGAAAAATAAATGTTTAAATATTGTTTTTTTTTTTTAATTGGCGGCTGTTGTTTTTGTTGTTGTTGTTGTTGTTGTTGTTGTTGTTGTTGTTGTTGTTGTTGTTGGTCTCTATTGGCGTGGATATGTGCTCAACTTTGCGTTTTTTTTTTCGATTTTTTTAAACTTAATTTTATTTAAATTAATTACATTTTTAATTATTTACAATTTACATATATATTAATATACATATTATATATATGTGTATACAATTTTATTACTTTAATATTTAATATTTTTTACAAATTTTTATTATAATTTTTTATCATTATTATTATTTTCTTTTAATTTTATGCCTTTTTTTGCCTTATTGCATTTCGTGAGTGAGAACTTTTACTTGTCTGTTTGTATTGCATTTCTTTTTTTTCAGAAAAATAGACAATAAATTTAAATATATAAATCAAGTAATTAAAGAAATTCAACACATTTAATTAAAAAAAAGACAATTGCTTGCATTTTTTCTTTGAGATCATATAAATGTACATGTTTGTATGTGGATGAGTGTGTGTTTGTTTGGCTGCGTGCTTTCACTAGGCAAAATACAACAAATCTTCTTGTGAGTTAGAAGGCAGTGGGTAGAGATCGCAGTGAGAATATTGTACTTGCTCTAATCATTAAAAAAATAGTAAAAAAAAAGGATGAAAACAACAACCAAAATTTTGGAGACCCTGCTGCTTCTTTCTATCGCACAAAAACAATTTCCATAAAATCAGTTGTACAAAAAAAAAGTTGATTTTAGGTGTAATGATCACAACGATCGTTTCGGGATGTGCTGTTTATATTGCGAAGATAATAAAAAATTTACTTCCGAACGCTCTGCTCATAGAAGTGCTTAAATTTCAATTAAATACTTCGGCTTCGGCTTTGATTTGGCTGCTCTGCTCATAGAAGTGCTTAAATTTCAATTAAATACTTCGGCTTCGGCTTTGATTTGGCTGCTTATATATTTTAAAAGGCAGACTGTAAAAAGATCTCTGAGTGTCAATATGTGTTCTCCACAACTCTGCTCTCTCTCTCTTTTTTTCTCTCTCTCGCTCTTGCTTTCTCTTTCTCTTTCTTTCTGTCTCCCTTCCTTTCTTTCTCTCTCCCTTCCATTCTCTCTCCCTCCCTTCCTTTCTCTCTCCCTTCCTTTCTCTCTTCTTTTCTTTCTCTCTCCCTCCCTTTCTCTTTCCCTTTCATTCTCTCTCCCTTTCTTTCTCTATCCTTTTCTTCCTCTCTTCTTCTCTCCCTTTTTTTTCGCACTATCTTTCTTCCCCACCATATCCCTATCCCTTTCTTCCCTTCTCTCCCCTTTCCTCTCATTCTCTCTCTCCCTATCATTCTCTCTCTTCCTCTCTCCCTCTCTTTCTATCTCCATCTCTTCCTATCTCTCTCTCTCACTTCTCTCGCTCTCACTTGTTTCTGTCTTTTTTTCTCTTTCTCTCTCATTTTCTCTCTCTCTCTCTCTCTCTCTCTCTCACTTTTTCCCTCTCTTCGTCTCCCTCCTTTTCTTCCTTATACGAATTTTCAGTTAACTTCATCTATTTGCCAGTACTTTTGTAAAAGCTTGAATAAAGTTAAATATTATGGCGACGGGTCGAGCATCACATACAATTTTTGGTATTTCTCGTCCCGTTTTTACGCCAAACGTGTGAGTGACCTAAATCACTCCCGAAAAGCTGAATGATTCCTAGGAGAAGTCTCTCCCTTTATTATAGTACATGCCATAAATACACTCCAGGCTATATGTATTCCTTACCAAGAGGCGGGCACACTTAGAAATACATATTTTCACAATTTCGTTTACGATCTGTCTTGGGTATGCATCCATGAGCCTTTGAGCTCTTAAGTCTCTTATCAATTTCGGACTGTGAATACGTATTTTCGACATGACGTGATTGCAGCGCCACCTAATAAATAGATTTTCCCTTAAACCTATACACAGTACATGGCGGCCGCGTGGTTAGCTTTGCTTCTGCCACCCATAAGAAATTAAATAAAAATTTTCTAATCGCGGTCGTCTCTCGGTAGAGAATGTCAACCCTTCCGAGTGTATTTCTGGCATGAAATAAAAGCTCCTCATAAAGCCGTAGTTCGGTTTGATATTTGACATAACAAAAATTTAATTGAACAACACTTTTATTTGACCTAGTCTCTGAAGGGTCTAAGCGCTTAATTTTGTGCGAAACTCCAAAAGTTAGTTAATAAGCCGGGTTGGCTGTTAAGTACAAAATTTTGTTCCAACTTAGATCGTCTTTCTAGAATTACCAAAGCCAACTTGATTTACAATATTAAAAATAGAAAACTGAGAACCAGACCAAACTTAAGCCATCGAATAAGATCTTTGTGCCCTCTTGCTAACTGATTTTTGACAAAAGCTGTGAAACGGTATTAGTAGAGTTCAACGGTGCACTGAACATCTGCTCATCGTTAGATTGGTCTCATTGATAAGAATGACTTTCGTCTTCAGCACCTTCTTACTGGATTTTATCTTAGACCTTTTCCTTGTCCGTTGGGGGTTTTCCAAAAAACCACCGATACATTCTCTGCCTTTCTCTGCCCATGACCATCACGCTGTTCACAAGGAAATTTCAAACTCAACACACTTTTACAAAATATTAAAACAAAAGATAAATGTATATATATCAAACAGCAACAACAATTTAATTACGCTCACAACCATCAGCGATACCAACACCACCGCCACTCCCACCACCACTGCCGCCTTCAACCACACCTACATTGCCCGCAGCAGCTGCTGCCATAACCGCAGCCACATTCGCATGACGCAACATCAAATCGCTCTCCGTCGCCTTGCCAATACTACTCAAATTGAGCACCGCTCCATTATCCGCCGCAGCCGCCGCCAATGACGACGAGCTCGCCGCATATTCTTGCGCAGACAATTTGAGGAATTGCTCATAGGCCGATAGACGTGAAGTAGAGGACGTCGCCACTGGCGGCTCATCACCACTAATCGCCTCCATGCTGCTGGCGGCCGTGCAGGAGCCCGCATGGTAGACCTTGCTCGCCATAACAGCAGCGCTGCTGCTGTACGGCGGCGGTGGTGGACGCTCGCTTAACAAACTGCTGCCGGCACTACCGATCGGTTGGTGACTGAGCGCTACGCGGCTGCTTGAGATTGCATCAGCTGCGGCGGTTGTGTGGATATTACTCAAGCTGCTTGAGAGTCTTTGCTGTTGATGTTGGTGGTGCTGTTGATGTTGATGGTGCTGCTGCTGTTGATGTTGATGGTGCTGCTGTTGTTGCTGCAGTTGACTTTGTTGTTGCTGCTGGTGATGCTGCATATCAAGCGGATGCGCAACAATTGCTGAAGCCGCGTTGGCGCTGAAGAGCACCTCGGAGTCTGATTGTCGGTGAGTGTGTTGTTGTTGCAAAACATTTTGCGGCGGGACGTCAAGAGCGCTGCTGCTCATTGGACTCGGCGATGTCGGCGATTGTTTGATGTGTGTAATGGTGGTTGTGCCCATGGCAGAGGCACTCAAATCACTGCTACCCACTCTTGCGGAGCCGCCACCAACACTGACACCGACTCCGACGCCACTGCTGTTCACATTCTGGCAGTCACCACCACTAAGATAGCGTGGCCCCACGCTGTTGTTATTGCTGTTGTTGGTGGTACTATCGACATGGTCGTGCGTGTCTTTCGCTGTTGCCGCGCTGGTGAGCGCCAAGCCCCTAACGCTGGACGCACCACTAATCGAACCCTCATCCATAGCTGTTACTAAGGACACACCACTACCGCCATTGCGTTCACTATCGCCGACACCAGCACACTTGCTAACGCCCACGCCTGCTCCAACGCCACCTGCACCGCCCACGCCGCCGCTGCTGCTACTACTATTATATTCATTTTGTGTGGTTAGATTGGGCAGTTGCAGTTCATGCTATTCCTTTATCAACCGATAGATGTGATGTGTGGCGCCGCTATTCTGTTCCGCCACCTCGAATACGTATGCTATGCAGAGTAGGGTCTCTTGTGTGTCTCGCGCTTGCATTACCTACAATCAGAGGATTAGAAATATATAGAGAGAACTTTGGGTATTAAAAAGGTATCTTCATTACTCACCTGTAATATTGTAAAGTTCTCCAGCACACTATTCATCATGTAACGTTCAGGTAGATCCTTTAATTTCTGTATAAAATTGATCATATATTCGCACATCGGCGACCGATGTATGCGATATACGAAACGACCGTTCTCCAAACGTGAGTATTCCGTTTCCACTTTCTCCACCACCTGTTTGCCAAACGAACAGACTTTCGTCGAACAGACGAGCACAACATTTTCGTTACTCTCATATCTAAAAGGAGCAGAAAAAGATAGAACAAAAAAATGTGTAAACTTTCAATGTAGGAGAGCAAAAGTCTTCGGCCGATACTTACTGACTCGTAACGCCATAAAAATCACCCGTCTCTCTGCCGGTATTCAAGTCTGCCCAACATTTAACCAAATAGAAGGCATTTTGTGGACCTTTTTCGTAGAGATCTTTAAGACCACCTGATTTCTCAGGGAATTTATCGGAGATTTGTCGGATGTCAACAGTCTGTGGGGAGAAAAGAGCGAAGATTATTTATAGATATTTTGAGTCATATTATTTAAATGTAGAGACAGTCAATTCCGGGCACGGTAGTCGAATGGTTAGCATTGGCAGGGGATGTCAAGCACTCCGAGTGAATTTCTGACATGAAATAGAGGCTCCTCATGAAAAAAACCATCAACCATACGAAGGTGGCTTGGTATAAACTGTAGGTCCCTCCATTTGTTGGAAAAACCACAATACGCAAAACCACAAATTGGAAAAGGAGCTCGGAGCTCGCTACAGCGATTACAAAGCGTCATTCATGCAGACAGTGAAGGTTTTGTTCTCAGGCATGACGAACTCGCTATGGTTAAGGTGGAATGCAAGACACTTGAGTATTGAAATCAACGAATCTACATAAATCCGGTATTAGATCTTCTATACGGAGTTACAGGGGTATTGCAGAGTTATATTATATGCCCAAAATTTTCGAAGCTGCCTACATGCCCATGCCCATGCCTGCTTAGCGAGCTTAACTTCGCCATCCCTTTAAGGACATCTATACAACTTAGGCCCCTTTCATTCTGTTCATACAGAAGAAACTGTGAAATGCACGACCCTTTCAAATCTTCGTGTAAGGATTTCAATACACATTTTGCCAACATTGATTCCTCTGACTCGCCTTTCTATACCAATACCTGCTTACTAAGAGGTTTAAATAATTAAAAGTAAATTCTTCTTCTTCTTCTTCTTCTTTTTCCAATGTAATTTTATAGCAGCTGATGAACAAATCTGTAGCAGTTTGGGCAAGTGTAAACGTGACCTTCGGCGATCGGTCTCGGGTTCAAGGCAGTCCGGACTGTCACTATTTAGTTTTCGGTTACCGGTCTGTACGGCTTTTCGATTATCCTCGGTTGGTTGTGCGGGAGGTGGGTAATGCTTATTTACTTCAGTCGCTTGGGTTCTCCTCATTATACACAGATCTAAACTCTCTACGAGGCTGTGTGGAACTTTTTTTCAGAAACTGTTCTGTTTTCACACTTTTCACACATATCTGTTTACTGAATATTTCTATCAAAGGATTAGCTCCTCATTCTCAGTCCTTGTTTTTTTAGTATTTAATTGTCTACTTTTTAAAAAGTTAGGTTATACTATCTCTAATATTGCCCCGGCTTGAAGAAGAAGAGCTTTTTCTCATTCCACTTATTAGTTTTGTTTTCTCATTTCTTCACAATGGGCTGCTTGTATGGCCATCCTTCTCTGTACACTCAAACCTCACTTAACCCATGCATACATAGGATGTCATCTATAAGACTTTATTTATAACTAAAATCCACTCTAAAGTCGAATATTCTTAATTTAAACGGCTTGTAGAGATTTGGGTAAGTTGAGAGTAAGGAGCCCTATAGACAACAGCAGGAGAGAACCTGTGTGAGAGTTTTTCTATTCTAGGTCATCAGAGCTTTGCGAAAATTCAGTGAGCACTGAAAAATACCCAAGGTTGGGCAAGTTAAGTGGTAATGCTTGGCATCCTGCATGAGCCTCACTATGAAAATTATTTGGGAGAGAAAGTAAAATTAAGGAAAAATAATCTGCAGGAATCTCACAAAGATCTCTGGGCTGGGCTTAAATGTGCTGGGTAAAATTCCGACAAGTCGGAGTTCAAGCAGTTTCTTCATTTGTACGACAACTCAGATTCATTGATCTCTGCGAGTATCGGAGAACTTAAACTAAGTTAACTCTTAAAGAACACTACTAAAGGGATGAGTACAAAATTTTCAGACCGCAAAGTTTTTGATATTATTGTATATAGAGGCATCCAAATTCGAATAAAAGCTTGCTAGACCTCAAACTAAACGATAAGAGGAGGCCGACTATTGAGAGAACAATTGGATTGAAGTCACCTCTCACGACAGGTATGCCAGAACACAGATAAACTCTAGGGCAGCTAACTCGCTAGATTTGTTGAATAGATTGTCTACATACACACTTACCTCGAGTAGCGGATCGGAGAAGGACGGTTTGCCGCCAAGTTGCACGAACAAATGCCGGTGATACTGCAAATTAGCGAGAAAAGAAAATTGAGTATTACTTATGAGAGCATTTTAAAAACTCATTCTTCGAAACTTACGATTTCCTCTCTTTGTATCTCCATGAATGCCGAAAATTCTAGCAAACGAAATTTGTGCGTCGCAATCGCTCTACCCTCCCACGGCAGTTGTGCGGGCGGAAGACCAGCTTCAATCTCACCAGACACAGCTGTCGATGGTTTGCCGGCGGGATAGGGGGGTTGTGCGAATGGCTTAATGCTGTAATCGTAAAAACTGCGGTCAATGCAAACAAATTCATTATGTCAAGTAAATAAAATTCATTTAAGATAACTTACTCTTGTGAGGTGCTGGGCTGTAAGCCGGGCTGCCAAAATTGCTATATACAAAAAAAAGTCAAGGGGTGAGAGAAAAAGAGAAGAGAGAGAGAGAAAAAAATATATATGAGAATGAGTACAAGTAAATTAGTTTTTTTTTTAAATATATTATTAAGCACAAATGTAAATAACAACAATAAATTATACTTTATGAAAATACATATGTATGCATGTACGAATATGAACAAAATGAGCGAGCGAGCTAGCGAAAAGCAAGGTTTACATGATGAAGAGCCAACAGTTTTATTTTTTTTTTTGTTTTTTTTAGGTTATGCGTGTTTTAATGAGTAGAGAGAGAGCGTTTAGCTTCTATTTTATTTTTAATGTTTTATAATATTAATTATTTATTTTGTATACTTTAATTTCAATATAAACATATTTTTCCGCTGATTACATAGAGATGAGTTTTTATGTACATACATAAAACAATTATGAAGACCTCAACCAATTTGAAGAAGATTTGACTGTTTTATTTCTTTTTTTTAACTTTTTCAATATCGAAAATTTAAAAAACATGTAAATTGTTTTTCTTTGTTAATTTTTAGTTTTTGTTAGTTTTTTATATTTCAATTTTTTTTCAATTACAATTTTTACAACTTTTAAAACTTTTTTAATTTTTAATATCAAAAACAATTTTTTTACTAATTTTTATTTATTTTATTCGATTTAGTTCAAAATTTATTTATATATTAAAATTTTTATAGAATCGAAAATAAATTTTTATATTTTTTTTTTTTACAAATTTAAACATTTTCATTTTCCAAATTTTTTAATTAGTAATTTTATTTTAATTTATTTTTATTTTTTTTATTTAATTTATTGAAAAAAATCGAAAATTAATTTTAATTTTTATTTTTAATTTTTATATTTATTATTTATTATTATTTAACTATTTTTTTGTAGTAAAACCTGAAAAATTATACTTTATCAATTTCTAATTTTTATAAGAATTATTATACTTTTTTCAAGTTTAAACATTTGTACAATTTTTCTAATTTTTAGAATTAATATAAATTTTTTAAAAACATGAAATTTACTTTTTTGCGAAATATTTGACTTCGACTTTTTCAAACATGAACATTTCTTCAAATTTCTATATTTCTAAGCTATAATTAATATTTTAATATTTAATATTTAATTTATTAAAAGAAACGAAAATTTATATTTTTTTTAATTATTACGTTTTATATTTGACTTTGATCTTTCTCAAATTTAAACAGTTGTTTAATTTCTGAAGTTGAATTGTTAGTGTGATTTTAATATTTAAATAAAAAAAAAACGAAAATTATATTTTTTATTTTTGACTTTTTCAACTTTAACATTTCTCCAATTTTCCAATTTTTTTAAATAGTATTTTTATAATATTTGATTTTTTAAAAAGTCGAAAATAGATTTTCTTAAACATCTATTTTTTTGACTTTTCAGATTTAAATATTTCTTCAATTATCTACTTTTTAATATTTTTTGTTGATTTAATTTTTTAAATTTGTTAAAATAGAATTTTTCTTATTTTTTTTGTATATTTGAGATTTTCAAAATTTAAACACTTGAACAATTTTTTAATTTTTGATTTGTTTTCTATTTTTGAATTTTTTACATTTAGTAAAAACCAAAACTTATTATTTTTTTAAATTTTTTTGTGAATTTCTATTTTTTTATTTAGTTTTATTTTTTTTTATTAATTTTAAATTTTCTTCACATATTAAATTTTTAAATTTTATTTTGCTTAGTTTTGAAATTTTTTAAAACCGAAATTTTATTTTTTGGTGAGTTTACATTCTATTGATTCATTCTATTTTAAAATATTAAATTTATTTTAATTTTCCAAATTTAAAAAAAATTAAATTTTTTTGTGAATGAATTATTATTTTTTTTTTTTACATTTTTTTTATTATCTATCGGTAAACTAATTCTCTAAAAAAATACAAATATTTATTGCTTTTTTTGGCGAGCACTGCTGATGAGCGATGAAGAGAGCGATGATATATCCTATATGGACTTTAAAGTCCTTGTACTGATGTGATCCATGAGCATTAACTTACAGATGAGTGAGTAATGGGTTTGCCTAAGTTTCTATGTTACTTTAACCTCCCACATGTTCATATATTCACACACACACACACACACACCCAAACACACACACACACAGACACACACCCATAAACACACATATGAAGCGCACAATGATGGATTTATTTACAACGCAAGGAGGGAGAGAGAGAGTGAGAGAGAGTAGCACAAAATGTCGCATTATAACGGTTGTTAGCTTTATACTGATTTCTTTTATTAAATCATTAATATTATTTATTTTTCTGTATGAGCACATATGTTTTTCCATTTAGCTTTTAGAGTTCGTTAGAAGCGTTTATTTGAAATTTTATCTCTTACGCCCGGATACATTGGTGGATGATGGAGACGCGTATGCGCATGCGCGGAATGTGGCAAACCCGACGATGCCGATGCCGATGCCGATGCCACCGCCGCTGCTGCTGATGTTGTGGTTGTTGCCGCCGCAGCTGCCACCACTGCCGCCGTCGCGGCTGCATGTTGTTGCTGCAAATATAGGGAGCCCGCCGTTGGATGCGTGGACGCATGCGGATGTGCGCCGGCTGGTGGGTGGTGATGAAGGTGGTGGTGTTGGTGTTGGAGATGGTGATGGTGTTGACTTAGGTGGTTTAGATGGTGCGTGTGGTGGTTATGATGTAAGTGTTGAGAGTGTGGATGTAGATGGGGACCGACTAGATGTGCCGCCGCTGCAATGGCCGAGGCCGTTGATGACGCCGACGAGGCCGTTGAAGAGGACGGCGGTGGTAGGGCTACTACTACTGGTGGTGGAGGTGGTGGCGGATGTTGTCTCGCCGTAGGTGGCGCTCCCGAATACGCCGCCGCCGCCGCATATGCGAGATTCTTGGCCGCTTGCGCCGATACAATTTGTGAGCTAGTCATACAGCTCATAGCCTGCAATGCTTTCTCCTTTTCGCTTAGTAAATGTAGCGAATGTGCGTGGCCATTGATGCCACCGATTCCATTGGGTTCCTGGAAAATAATAATAATGTAGGATAAAGGTGGTGCTCGTTGTGGGTTGTGCACGAGGTTGGTGTAAGACCAATATGGTGGCGCTGAACTGTATTCATATTTGCTAACTTACTGGCTGAGCAACATGAAAGTGATGATATCGAGATGAGTGCGGTGATGACGAGATGAGAATTTTGAATCATTTATGGAATTTTGGCCAATTTTTCATTTATTTATTTTTTTTTTAAACTTTTACCTTAATAAAACTAACTGTGCAGTTAAGCACATCGGCGGCAAATAGTGCACGACTTTTATGCATACCCTAAGACCATCAATGGTAGCTTCTAACCAGCTAAAGTATGTCTTTGTGGTTTATTTAGAAGTTCCTCAGCTTACATGTTCGGCAAATGTCAAAGCGAAATAAAATAAAGAAGTAAAAGTACCTCCCTCTTCTCTTACTACCTCTTCTTTTAACATGTTTTGCCAGTGTCCTTGCAAACGCTGGCATTTACGCAGCGACTGACTACATATTCTACTACAAAGTGACCCAGAAAACCCCAAAGAATTTCGTATGACAGAACAGAAAGTTGAATAAAAAAACTGTAAAACGCATTTCTACACATCGCTGTGTTTAGTGAAGAAAAAGAGACAAGGAAAGACGCATTAAAGAGTATGCACACCGCAAGCTCTGTGTGTCCTTCAGTGGAAGTTGAAATTTTTGCAGGTGAACAGCGTAAATTTTTCGTTTCTAAAAACATTTTATAAAAGAAATATATGAGCTTTAAGTCAATAAGGCGGAGCTTTGATATATTTAAATGAGGATTTGCGTAGAGCAAAAGCTTTGCTCTCAAAGCACGCATTGAAAAATTTATTGCATAATTTTAGGCTTTCATACTTATTACTTCATCCATGCACTTCTTTAACGAATTGTGACTAAATATATAATAATATATAACTGTGATATTTTGTAGCATAAGAAACTTCTAGTATAACTATGAATTCGTCATCTTTTATCTTTCTCCATAAGTGCTCGATTCGAAAACGAGAATCTCAAAAATGCAATGAATGAGATTAAAAGTAAATAAAATAAAAGAAATAAATAAAATAAAATAAAATAAAATAAAATAAAATAAAATAAAATAAAATAAAATAAAATAAAATAAAATAAAATAAAATAAAATAAAATAAAATAAAATACAGCAAAAAAATTAAGTGAAATAAAATAAACTAAAATAACTAAAAATAAAATGAAATAAATGCAATTAAATTAAAAAAAACTAGGTATGAGTTTTTAAGTAATAATAATATTAATAACATCCAACGGCGTGCTTCTTGCAGTCACTTGCCAGCGTGTGTTTTATTACAAAAAATAAATATATTAAGAAGCCGATACGAATTTACGAAGCGTAATTTAGCTCAGTGAAAACATATATATTTCTTTTTAAGGTACAACATTAATAAGAATTGAAAAATTGTGTTTCTTTTTTGACGTGTAAATTTACGAAGAAATAAATTTCGCTTGAAATACACCAAATAGTAATCTCGGGCGAAGAAAAATGGCAACAGAGCCTCTATATAAACAAAAGAGCATACACTACATTTGTTGCTCTTTGAGTCTCGCGCTCGCTTACATTTACAGTCGCTCGCTCTTTCCACTTCACTGTCGTCACACAAACAAGCACAAAGCGAGCGACGAGGCGATCCTTCGGTCACTTTAACCCACTTTTAAGACCCTTTCAGTTTTACAAAGCTTTTTATAAAGTTATTTACAACTGGACCATTAAACACCGTTTTGCGAAAATCAAACAAAGCGAAGGTAAAAAGCAAGCAGAGCAAGTATTTTGCAACAAGAAGCAGCACAAGAAGAACAAGAGGCTTTACAACATTTGCACTTTGTAAGTTTTGTTTTTAGTTTTTTTTTTTAGTTCTTTTTGAGTGCAAAAGTAGATTTTATTTGTTAAAAGCACTGTTTTTATTTAAAAAAAATTTAATTTGTTGTTTTTATTTTCTTCTTTTTTTTCAATTTGTTTGTTTATTTACTATTTGCACGCCATCATTATAAATGCAAAAGTTGTTCAAAAAAATTTCAACTTTGAGAAATTTGCCTTTTACCTTCTGCCTCTTGGCCCTTTTGTTTCGGCGCAGAAAAAAGGCATTTACATTACATTTATTTAAAAAAAATGTAATTTTACTACATTTTATTCACTCTTTTGCTTCCTCACCCTTTCTTTCTCTCTGTGTGTCGCTCATTTCCTTTGCTTTTTTGGTTGCTCCTTGTTTCTGTTGCTATTGCTTTTTGTTTCTGCGGAAATGTAGTTGTTGCCATTTATTTGTTTTCATTTCTTGCTTTGACCTTTTGTCATAATGTGTGGGCCACATTAAATACCAAAGAAACAATGTAGACAAGAAAAGAGTAAAACAAGCGAGCACAAACCGTAAGAAAAAAGTCAAAAAATCTTACAGAGGAGGACAACGAGTGAGTCTGACCTGTGGAAAGCAGTAGACCAAGTTCCTACATAAATCTACTGCTCTATCTCTATAACGGTAAACAACAAGTAGATAGCAAGAGTGCTGTTGCACATTTAGAAAAAAAACTAAAGCACACATAGAATAAAACAAAACAGATAATAAAACGAAGGAAAAAAATTAATATATAATAAAAAATTAAAAAAAAAAAGAAATAAAAAAAATAGCAAGTTATGTAAAATAATTTAAATACAATTATATCAAATAGAAAAATAAAATAAAAACCGTTAAAAAAAGTATAAAATAAAGTAAATTAATATAAAATCATATAATATTAATTTAAACAAAATGAGATAAATTGAAATCTAATAAAAAAGTAAAATTAAATAAATACACAAAAAATGTAAGATAATAAAATAAAATTAATTAAAGTCAAACAAAAATAATTTAAATGAAAAGAGAAAAAATTAAATTATTTTAAGCTAAATAAATAAAACAAAAAAAAAGAAATAAAATAATTAAAGTAAAAACAAAAAATTGAATAAAAGAAATAAAAAATAAAGACAAATGATATTAATTAAAATGAAATAAAATAAAATAAGTAAAATTATTTAAATAATATAAATAATAATAATAAAATAGAAAAATAAAATAAAAAACGTTAAAAAAAGTAAATTGATATAGCATATATAATATTAATTTAAATAAAATGAGATAAAAATAAATAAATAAAAATGAAATCTAATAAAAAAGTAAAATTAAATCAATTAACAAATATATTAATTAAATAAAATAAAGTAAATTAGTATTACATCAAATAAGATTAATTTAAATAAAATGTAATAAAATGAAAACTAATAAAAAAATAAAATTAAATAAATATATAAAAAAAATTAAAATCAAGCAAAATTAATTTAAATAAAAGGAGACAAAATTAAAAACAAAATAAAATTAAATTAAATGAATGAAACAAAATAAAATGAAAAAAATTAAGTTAAATAAAATAATTCGAACAAAAAAGAAAAACTAGAATGAAAAGAAATAAAAAATAGTGAACTAATATTAATTAATAAAATAAACTTAATTAAAATGAAATAAAATATATAAACTAAAATAAATTACACAAAATATTAAATTTAAATAAAATATTATAGAATAAAATAAAACTGAATAAATACGAAAATTAAATAAAAGAAATAAAAAGAAAACAAAATAAAATAAACAAAGGCAGAATAAAGTAAAAATTAAAGCAATTTGTAATAAAAAATAGGAAACTTAAAAGAAATGTTGAACAAAATAATAAAATTAAGGAGAATAAATTGAAAAACAAAATAAATCAAAGCAAAAGAAAATAAAATGAATGAAACATATTAAAATAAAATAGAAATGGAAATAAATGATAAACAGATAAAAATTAAAGCTATTTGAACAATATAAAACAAAATAAATTTATGTTATGTAATAAAAGTTCAAAATTAAAACATAATAAAATTAAATAAAAAAAAAATAAATTAAGTAAAATATTAAAATAAAATACTTGAAAAATTCCTCCAGAAGCATGCTGCTCGTACAATGCGAAAAAGAACTCGTCAGCCGACACCAAAAACAACAACCACAACAATAACTCAGCACAAAGCAACAAAACAACTGTTGAAATCAAATAAACTTTCCATCAAAGCTAAGAGTAGGAAAAATAGAGAGTAAAAAAAGGAATCCAAAGAACTATTTTTTTTTTGTTTTTTTTTCATTTTATTGGCGCTGCTTTCTACTTGCTGCCTTACATTGTGTACTATGCATAGTATTTACTGCGTTTTTTTTTCTACAAATTTCACCGTACACAAACGGTCAGCAAGCAAAATACAAAAAAGGATTTCAATGGAATTTTCATTGCACAAAGTGCGCTGATGCAACACAGCAGAAGGTAAGAAACTAAATCAAATAAAATAAAAACGAAAATAAAAAATTGCAGAAAAATAAAAGGATATAAGAATAAAAACAAAAAGGTAAAAGAAAAATTAAATTGAAATGCAAAAAATATTTATGTATGTTTGTTTGTACCTGTCATAGAAAATGTAGTGTGTAAAGGAAGGACAAAGTACAAAAGCACAAAGCAAACTGCAACGCATGCACTTCGACACAGAGCGAGGGTGCGTGGCAAAGCAAAAGAAGCACTGAGAAAAGCTCAGCTCAGCTGCTGACTAGGAGCTGCTGGCCAGCGTCTGCGACACACTCAAAGACGCCGATCCAGTCACGTGTGCCACTGACAAGCGGACAAATGCCTGTATGTAGGTACGTTTAACACAAACGAAAAGCAAAAGCAACAACAGCACAAATAGTTATGCAACTCAAACGACAAAAACTTTGTACTCGTTTAAATGCAACAAACAAACAAAAAAAAAAAAAAAAAAAAAAAAAAAAAAAAAAAAAAAACTACACATAAAAAGTATAATTTTTATAAAGTTTTACCTTTTACTTAAATACTGTGTGTGTGTATGTATGTATTGTATGCATTGTATGTGAAAGTACAAAACCCACTTTTAAGTGAAGTGGACAAACGGAAAAGCAAAGACACACACACACACACACACACACGCACATGCACACATTTGCGCACAGGTACAAAGCGGACAAACGGAAATTCTGTCAGAATCCACTTGTGAGTAGACGACGACGAGTGTAATGTGTAGGTGTGTAGGTACGGCCAAGTGGATTAAATGCATGCGAGGGTGGACTGTATTTTCTTTCTTTTTCTAAATTTTATTATTACTACTATTATTTGTTATTGTTATTATTATAATCATTATTACTAAGTATAATTATTGTTATTATTTGGTTTCAATTATACTGTTTAAATAAAAATAATTTATTTTAAAAAATTTAAAATTATTTTTCCCATAAATTTTGGTATCAACCTAATGTACACACAAAATGCATACAATTTTAATAAAAACATGCATACATATGCATGTAAAGGAAACACTTTATCTAAATACTGTTATAGTTGCATTTTTAATTCTCAACTATTTTTGTGTTTTGTTATTGTTGTGTTGTATTTTTCTTTACCAAATGTTGCTTTGAGAATTTGTTTTACATTTCATTTCGAAAGCTTTTCGGTTAAAAAAGCATAAATAAAAATTCAAAAGAAAAAAGTATTTTAAATATCTTTAAATGACACGTGAAAAATGTGTACGTGTATGTATGTGCGCAAAATATACTTAGCTATAATTAGAAATTCGCCTGCTAACTGAATTATTTTGCAAAATACAACAAATTGTTAAATTTTTGCACTATTTTATGTGTTTGTGCTTTTAATTTTTTATATTTTCCTTTTCTTTTTGTTTTTATTTTTTTTTTACTTTTTACTTTTTATTTTTATTTTTATTTTTATTTTTCATATTTAACTTTTTATATTCTTTTCCTTTTTTTATTTTTCCTATTCATTTCCAATTATAATTTTATTTTCATATTTATTTTTATTTTTATTTTCATTTTTAAACTTTAATTTGCATTTTTAATTTTTAATATCGTTTTTTTATTTTTTCTTTAATTTTTATTATTTATAATTAGTTTATTGATCTTTTTAATTTTCAATTCCTTTTAAAATTTTCATCTTTTTAATTTTTTTTTTAATTTTTTATATTTAATTTTCTCTTTTATCTTTTCCCTTTTTTTATTTTTATTTTTAGATTTATTTTTATATTTTATATTAATTTTCTTAATATTAATATTAATTTCAATTTCAATTTCAATTTCAATTTCAATTTCAATTTCAATTTCAATTTCAATTTCAATTTCAATTTCAATTTCAATTTCAATTTCAATTTCAATTTCAATTTCAATTTCAATTTCAATTTCAATTTCAATTTCAATTTCAATTTCAATTTCAATTTCATCTATTTATTTTTTTTAATTTTTTATATTTAATTTTCTCTTTTATCTTTTCCCTTTATTTTTTATTTTTTATTTTTATATTTTATATTAAATTTAAATTTAAATTTTAGTTTTAATTTTAGTTATTATTATTATTTTTTATTTAATTTTAAATTTTTTATTTTTTTTTATTTTCCGTATAATTTTTTATTTTCCTTTTAATTTTTTGTTATTTTTCATTTTATTTTTTATTTCTCATTTTATTTTTTTTCTTTTTATTCTCTTTTTTATTATAATTTTTAACTTTTTTAAATTTTTTTGTAATGATTTATTTTTATTTATATTAAGAATATCAGAGCTGACTTTAGCAAAGCGGACTATTGAAATTAACATTTCAGATTATTGTGTGTCAGGCGAATGTCGATCCAAAAGTAAGCAATGGCACATTTTTTAAACATCATATTGTTGAAAAATATTGCCTAAGGCAGTATAGGATAGTATAGTAGCTCATATTTTCGCAAAATTTTTGGTATAAATATATAATATATAAAAATAACATCATAATAAGGATTTGAAAATACCTTTTTTTAAAACTATTTAAAAATAATATTACTAAATTTACTATGCTAATTCTGTGTCAATTTCTGCTCAAACACATCAATCAAACCTTGCTCTTCTTTTACACAATTTAAAAATATACATATACAAATATATAGTATATGGTGAATTGAATGTTGAATTTAATTGAAAATAAGTAGTAACTTCAAAATGAATTTTGGTGACAAAAGCGAAAATCGAAAAATCTCTGCTACAGAAAAACATTTAAAAATTTATTACAAATTTAAAGAAACACTGGTAAATAATTTTTGAAATATTTATAAATAATTTTTATTTTTTTTTAAACTTTCATGCAATAATATCGTGGAATAGTGTTACTTACAACTTTGATTTTCGCCTGAATTTCACGTAATTTCCGTCTGGCCAGCACTTGTATGTGCGAGCTGACTTGCTTTCTTGTTCTCGTCTTGCCTGTGCGTAATTTTATATAACGTGCGATGAGTTCGTTTCGGCCTAGAAAAAAATAAACATAAAAATATTTCGATATAAAACATATTGACCAAATTGAATATTTCGAATTTTTTCTTAGATAAATAAAGATATTTACTCCAGCTACAGTTATTTTTTGGTCTCTAATAGAAAAGTAGATTAATAATTGCTTATATATATATATATATATATGTTAGTTTCATTACTCTTCCAAATATATATTAATTTACTTAGTTATATTTAGTTTGAACATTCTCTACAAAAGAATCCCGAAATTAATTTCAATGACAGTGACCTCGAAAGTTATGTAGTCTAATTAATAAATGCTGCTTCTCTGCACTTGGCGTAATTAATTTTATGGCAGAAAAATAAGCTGTGCCTGGTGTTTTTAATTCGCTTTTATAGACATTAGTACGCTCGTCATTTGTTTGATTAGCCATTCGGAACGCAATGAGTATTTCTTGCTTAACTGTGGCATGCTTAGGCTTAATTTTTGACCTATTCAAATAATGCGGTGGCGAGGAAATGATGCATTTTCGAATGAAAGGGTACTCGACGACTGGAACCTAAGTGTGCTCTGCCCAATTTGTAGAAACGGGGACCACACAATTTGCATCAATCATTGAGGGATAGCCCTCCTTAATGAAGCTACTATCATTAAACTGACTGAGCCTGACCGATGCGGCTTCAGACCGAACAAATCTTAGCTTGAGCAGATATTCAGCAGTCTTCAAGTCTTGGAAAATAAATGTGAAAAGATGGATTTATACCACTTCCTCGTCGATTTTAAAACGCCTTCCATAGTTCGAAAAGTAGTTGCCTCTACGCCGCAAAACTTATATGGTTATGTAAACTGACCTTAAGCAACGCTAAAATCTCAATCAGGAGTGTAGACGTAAATAGACAAGGCATTGTACAAACTTCTGTAAGAGCGTATAAGTACTGGCGACCGTCGATGACTTTGATATAGTAGGTGTCAACAACCGCTCTGTTAGCTCTGCTTTATCCCAACTGGAATAATGGCCAAGTTGAAATATCTCCTATCAGCAAACAAACAGCCATCGCACTTGCGTCTAGACTCCCACGTGCCTGTTGAGAGTCATAATTTTGAGTTTGTGGATGATTTCTTCTATCTAGGAAGCAATATTTATACCAAAGACAATGCCAGACTTGAAATCCAATGCAGAATCACTCTTGCCAGCAAGTGTTGCTACTTTGGACTAAGCAAGAAATCGAAAAGTAAATAAGTTTGTACGCGGACAAAAAGCAAACTCTATCAGTTGTTCATTATTCTCGTTTGACTTCATATAGGAGCGGTATGTAGTTAAGCAGCCACTCCGGCTAGTAAATGTCATCCGGATGGATGAAAACATTACAGAGCAAGAGGAAGATCTCAACTCCATCTGATCAGCTGCCTTCATTTGGCGCCTTCCATCAGCGAAAAGAAGAAAAATTCGGGGCGCTTTTTTAACTGGGCTGTAGTCGCGTATGCTGTGTCTACGCACATGAAAGAAGATACAAGAAGAGGTTAGACGTCTGAGCTGAAATTCGTATATTAATTCGAATATGTTTCTAGTTAACTTCTCCATAAACCCTGAATAATTGGGCTAACTAAGAAGTGATTTACGAAACTAACGAAACTAACTAACCACGGCCTATGCTCAGTATCACCACCTTTCAACTCGTTAGCAATCTAATTCTTGCATGGAAAAAGTTTGAATTAGGATTCTAGCCGATTCTAGGCGACCCATACAATTTTAGGAAAGAATTCTACAAGAAAGGCTTCAATAATTCTGTTAGGAGCGCACATGTCGTCGAAAAATTTGATTCATCTTGTCATTCAAACTGTTGTTAAGAGAGCTAAGGATATTGCATTCCTCTGACTAGTTTTCTGCATCGAAATCTAACCTACTCGCTAAGAGCTTTAAGGCAATAGGCTCCTTTAGAACCCGAAAAAAGTGGGGTATCAGCAATTTTTTGTTAGAAAGAAAGGGAAATTATTGAGGTAAAAGAATTTCTCAGACAATAATGTATTGTACTATATTTAAGCTTCAAAAACAATTTTTAGTATCACAAAAATGTTGGAATTTTTAAATGTTGTGTTGGGTTTTCTGAAGCGGCTGCAGCCCGAACTCGTGAAACGTTGCCGGTGTTGGAGGTCGCGCGATGCGTCTGAAACAGTCGAAACATTTTTTTTTATTTTGTATAAGTGTCTCTTCTATAGGAAGTAAAAAAAATACCGAAGAAGTAGGAAAACTCAAAATTTTTCGTGTTCGAAAAAAAAAATTCACTTTAAGTTACAAAAAAAAAAAAAAATTGCTTAAATAATATCGGACTTTTGTCCAACTCGTTTTTAAGTTCAAATAGAAAATAATTTATTACTTTGATTATTTTTCGATCGCATACCGTTTTCTAAGACTTGGCAAAATCAAAACTCGAGAAAACGCACTTCAAAGTTCTGCCCGCGCATTTGAAATCTCACAACGCTCAGTCAGTAAAACTGTTCTTGCTTCGAAAATACGTGGAACTGGCGACAGAAATTTTGAAGACATTATCTGTGATAGTTTTTAGAAATTGAAGAAAAAATACAATTTTGAAGCCTCTAAAGCAGACGAAATTTCCTTCTCTTTTTTCCATGTAATTTTATAGCAGCTGATGAGCCAATCTGTAGCTGTTTAGTGTAAGAGGCAAGTGCGAGCGCGACCTTCCTTATTTTTATTATTATTTTTTTTTTTGATCGCTCTCGGACTCAGGGAAACTGGGATTGTTACTAATTTTCGGTCATCACCCTGTTGGATTTTTCAATTATCCTTCGGGCACGCTCTTCGGTCGGTCCGGTGGGAGGTGGATAACGCTGGGTTTTTTGTCTAAATAACTTTTAATGAAACTTGCTTCATTACACATTGAACGAATCGTGATAATTTAAATTTTCCTTTTAAGTGCGAGCTCTTTTGGGACGCACTGTTTAAATTTTTTTTTATATTTTACTCGTATATATGTATGTGTGTTTAATATTTTCCCTAAATAACCGAATTCCTTTTACTAAACTCGCGTATTTGCTTAATGTAATTGCGACTCGCTAAGGCTTTGACTACGAGTATATTGCACATTCTCCTCCCTTTCACCTCCACACACACCCCAGCCGCATACGCATTACCCTTAATGTATGTACGTGTAGGTAAGTAGGTATGTATGTAGATATCAACAACCATCAACAGCAACAAATATAAATTTAATCAAAATTAATTTGCACCAACAAAGAGACATAAAAGAGTAAAGGGAAATGCGTTTGCTTGCTTGCCGAGCGGTAGAAGGCGGACGGGCAGGCGGGCAGGCGGCAGAAGGGACGGTTGATGGTAAACGAAAATATTCATAGTAGAAGCATAGCAATATTACACAATTCACTAACGACCAAAGTCAGCAGTAGCGCCAGCAACAACAACAACAATAGTAGATAACAAGTGACAACAGCAAAGTAGAAAAACAACAAAGCGAGCGCTGGCATAACATAATAAATAAAATAATGACAGACAGACCGACTCAGTCAGGCAGTGGCAGAGACAACAACCAAGCAGACGGACCAACAAACAATTACAAAGACAATGATTTGCGCGGCGAGTCCTATGCTTAGTCCTTGCTTGCTGTTTGCCGTGTCTCCAGCCAGCTATGGCCTGACCCTGCTGTTTCTTTACTCGTTCGCTCGCTGTGTTTGGCTCAGCACACTGAAATTATATTGTTTTCACTTAAATTTTCTATGCTTTCACCAAAGTTCGTTGGAAGTTTGTTGGGGTTACTTTGATGCTCTACTCTTATATATATAGCAGCTGTCAAGCGCGCTTAACTTGTATTGTGGACACCCTTTAGTCAGTCTCCGTCAGCGCCCTTCGGAAGTAATGTTTGTGCAGGCGCTTGTTGCTTGCTCTTCTTCTTTACCTTCGTCATTGTCTACTTTGGTCGTGACGTCGGCGTCGCTGTACATCTTCTTCGTCGCCATCGTCGCCATCGTCGCCATCGTCGTCGTCGTCGTCATCGTCGTTCACTAATTGCACATTCTTGGCATAGTTTCACTTCTAACCGAATAAAATTATTTTCATTCACTCAATGCAGCCTCTCTACCCTGACGCTTTCATTTCATTGCTACCCTGACGCGGTATGTGTACTATGTTTCGGCAACTTCAACGCTTTTCATTCTTTTCCAACGTGACTATACTCTTGCCCTGCTTTTATCACTTTGGCGGCCTTCAACAATATTTGTTGTTGTTCTTCTTGCTTGGTTTCCTGCATCCTCTGATACTTTACATCCGCCATCTTCGCTTAACATCAACTTACAGTTCAATGTAAGGGTCCGTTTAGCGGGAAGAAGGGCGCAGTGCTGGCTGGCTCTTTGTAGGTAATTGTCTTCTATAACTTTACTCTTCTTTTCCCCTCTGTTCTTTCTTCTTTTCTGCAACGTATTTCCTGCGGCATTTGGCTCGTCGACCTTTACACGACACGATCCCATTCAATTCACTTTTCTTCAATAACTGGCAAAAGTTTGTTGGCTTCCTTTTTTAGTTTGAGTTTTCCATAGTTTGGGTGGACAAAGAAGGGCGTCGGAGAGATAGTGAAGTTCTGCTTTAGGCATTATATTTTCGTTGTTTTTGCAAGAGAAATAAAGCAGATTGGTGAAGACTTAGAGTAGCTACAACTGAATGCACTTTTATTTAGTTCGAAAATTTTATTCAGCAGCGCAGCACTTCCAAGGTTTTGAGTTACGTTAGGTTTGGTTAGGCATGACAACTGAAGGGTTCGGATCTTACGTCGAGGTGAATATAAACAGGGGTCAAGGTGAAAGTCGTAGATAATATAAGCTTCTAGGTTCAGTTAGGTAATACTGACGCGTTGTCCCGTCATACATAGAAGTAGGTCCTTTATAATGTCAGAGGGAAGTTCAGCTTAGTTCGAGCTGAAGTGATCTTTATGTAGGTCTTTTGAACTGCACAGCTCCTTGATATCTAAGACGAGTTTTGGATTAGGTCGGACAG